CAAAATATAACACTCAGTATGAACATAGAGCTCCATAGTATACATCTTATTTTTTTTCCTACTGAAACCAGGTTGAAACAGTATTGTAAGAAAAACCTAGGTTTCCCTAGGTCTGTCTTCTTTGTTCTCTGTTGTTTGTTGTTTGTTTTCAGTGGGGGCGTTAATGGGCAGTTAATCCGGAGGTTAGGTTCAAACCTACTACTAATTTGCATATTGTAGGTCTAGTAGGTCTGAATAGGGCAGGTCGGGTTTACCCAGGTTAACCCAGGTTTGACCCAGGTGTTTGAATATGAGATCACCCCTTACCTGGGTATAAGCCCTTCCCTGGGTATAAGCCCTTCCCTGGTCATAAGCCCTTACCTGGGTATACGCCCTTACCTGGGTATAAGCCCTTACCTGGGTATAATCCCTTCTCTGGGTATAATCCCTTCTCTGGGTATAATCCCTTCTCTGGGTATAAGCTCTGATCTGTATACATGTATTATCCCACCAATCTATTTCTAGACATTTAAAACTAGTTGAAGGCATCCCCAGACAACCTTTCCAGCACCATTGTCAAATTTTGTCACCATCTACAAAATTATGAAATGTTGATAAAATTGACAAACCTTTTGATCAAAAATGATCTGAAACTGTCTAAATATGGTATTGCATACTGAATTAATTGCTGTGTTTACACAACAGCGTTTTATCAAAGCCAAAGCCTTTGACCATGTACACACATCAGCACCCAATGATCTCGTCCCACCAATGACTACTACGCAAATGTTGCAACATAGAAACACCTCTGTTATTTATGTAAGCGCATGTGATACTAATAGAAAAAATATGGTACTAGTATTGTATACTGGATTATTATATTTTGACCATAGAAACCCTAAGTGCTTGCTTAGAATTTTAATGAGGTCACATGACACAGCAGCCCACAATACTGTATATTGAGTAAAATCATGAAACAAGCAGCCTGTCAGCTGATATAGCTTCATTGTTTTAGATGCATAATCACAAAGGAATATCAAATCAATCAGTCTAGCCATTTTGAAGATAACAAGAATACCGTATTCATTAAAATGAGAAAATTGTAGTTATCAATACTTAATGAATTATTAGATAGAGAATTGAACGAAATCAATCTGACAGTGATCCATCTAAAATGTATAAGATATCAAAACAATCAGGCTGGTGTCTTCAAAAAGTCATCAAAAACTAATTTATCGATATGAAAATAAACAAATCTGAGAAATCAACCCAAGGCACCTAAATATAAAATAAAAAGGAGATAAGTAAAGTTTGGGTAAAATCAGTCTGTTACACACAAAGCGACAACAAATGGAAACCACTCACCCCGAAAACCACTCACCTAGATACACCACTCACCATGGAAACCACTCACCCAGGAAACCACTCACCCAGAGACACCACTCACCCAGGAAACCACTCACCCAGGAAACTACTCACCAGGGACACCACTCACCCAGAGACACCACTCACCCAGGAAGCCACTCACCCAGGAAACCACTCATCAGGGAAACCACTCACCAAGGACACCACTCACCCAGAAACACCACTCACCAGGGACACCACTCACCCAGGAAACCACTCACCCAGGGACACCACTCACCCAGAGACACCACTCACCCAGAGACACCACTCACCCAGAGACACCACTCACCCAGAGACACCACTCACCCAGAGACACCACTCACCAGGGACACCACTCACCCAGAGACACCACTCACCCAGAGACACCACTCACCAGGGACACCACTCACCCAGGAAGCCACTCACCCAGGAAACCACTCACCCAGGAAACCACTCACCCAGGAACACCACTCACCCAGGAACACCACTCATCAGGGAAACCACTCACCAAGGACACCACTCACCCAGAAACACCACTCACCAGGGACACCACTCACCCAGGAAACCACTCACCCAGGGACACCACTCATCAGGAACACCACTCACCCAGAGACACCACTCACCCAGAGACACCACTCACCCAGAGACACCACTCACCCAGAGACACCACTCACCCAGAGACACCACTCACCCAGAGACACCACTCACCCAGGGACACCACTCACCCAGGGACACCACTCACCCAGGGACACCACTCACCCAGGGACACCACTCACCCAGAGACACCACTCACCCAGAGACACCACTCACCAGGGACACCACTCACCCAGGAAGCCACTCATCAGGGAAGCCACTCATCAGGGAAACCACTCACCCAGGAAACCACTCACCACGGACACCACTCACCAAGGAAACCACTCACCCAGGGACACCACTCATCAGGGAAATAACTCACCTAGGGACACCACTCACCAAGAAAGCCACTCACCCAGGGACACCACTCACCCAGAGACACCACTCTCCAGGGACACCACCAGGGTTCTCCCCAGGGCTTTTTAGCGCCGAGGTCCGCGGCGCTATACCTGTGAATCTCGGCGCTTCACTTGGGACCTCGGCGCTATGTGTTCCCACCTCGGCGCTTGATTTCATATTTGACATGCAATATAAGATGTGAAAAAGCTTTGTTCGCCACGCCGGTCGGCCCCGACCGTCACTCAAAATTAGTGACCACCACGGAAATGCTTCCGACGAGGACTATTGTCTGATTGTTGGTATAATTACGTACCGACCGACACGCATCCTGCCAGTCGTGGATTATAATTTATAAACAATAGACCTAGTCGCACCTCTTTGTTTGTAAGTAAATACTTTCTGCGATAGACACAGTCTTTAGATTGAAAGCTAAAATTATTTCAAAATCAATTCCACCTCGATATAACATGGTCAAATCAGAGTTCACGATCAGTTCACGCTACTCAAGAAAAAAACAATGTGTTTATTGCGTGATTTGGTAAAATACATTTGAACTGTTATCATTGCGAATCATGTAAAAACTCTTCTTTCAAGACCTAATTTACCTTTTAAAAATTGCAAATCACCTCTTTCGAAAGCTGTCATGCAGTTTTCAATTGAAATCGATGCCAAC